TTGTGGGTCCTATACCAGAGACCTGGGAGTTTGAGGGTTTGTGCAGCATCTTAGCTGTTCCTAGCCCTGCACTCTTTTAGACAGAAAGCTCTGATGCTCTTCCTGGGATCTGTTGAAATCACTCTCCCAGCTTAGGGGGTCACAGCCCCAAGTGCTCCTACTACCACTGGGACTACTGCGATCTTTATTTTCCTCATCCAGTCTAGTTGCCCCTTCAGGGCCTGATACTTCTTTTGGAACTCCTTCTTCCTCATGTTATTGTTACTTGGCACTGCTGCATTTATCACCTGTTCTTCAACGTGACCTTCTGTGGAATCCCCCCATATGGACCTGTAAGGATCTAGTTCATACACTGTGCATCTCAGTTTCAGTTCGTAGTTTATAATCGTGTGGACCCTGTTGTACAGTTACTTTCCATCTTGAAAAATATTTTTTTAATTTACCGAAGCATCTATATCAAAAGATCAGTAGAAAAAGAATTGTTCTTAACAAAATTCCACTTTGTAAATAGTAAAACATCAGTTTTACTAGCATAAGTCTTAGTTGCACCTGAACTTTGGCCTATTTCTTTAAAATTGGCCACCTAACTACAAGCCGTTGCTTCTGTTTTGCTAAACGCATGCACCTCTGAATTCAGTTCAACTCTTTTCCACAACATGAGTGTCTTCGTGTACGGTTTTTTTGTCCATTTGTCTATTACCTTCTTTTGAAATGTTTTCTTGACTTTTTTAAGTCTACAGTTTTAAATGTCCTGATGAGTTTCAGTTTCAATAACCAGACCTAACTCTGCATAGAATCAGCTATGGTCAACTTAAAGCAGTAAAAAGAAATGTTTCTCCTTAGTCTTTGGCATTTCAGTCATCAATAGCACCTTCTTTTAAAGTTTCTGATTTTTTTCCTGTTTTCTCATGTATGCCTTTTTGAAATAATGCATCATCATGTATGGTATTCCACTTTTGCCCCTCCACTGTAAAAATCCCTCTATATGTAAACACTCTAAAATGTAATTGTTAAACATTAAATATTCATCATCAGGAGCATATTATTTCTTCTTTCTACTACTACTACTACTACTACTACTACTACTAATAATAATAATAACAACAACAACAACAACAACAACAACAACAACAATAATAATAATAATAATAATAATAATAATAATAATAATAAAGTTGGAAGGGACCTTGGAGATCATCTAGTCCAACCCCCTGCTCAGGCAGGAAACCCTATACCATTTCAGACAAATGGCTGTCCAGTCTCTTCTTAAAAAATTCCAGTGTTGGAGCATTCACCGCTTCTGGAGGCAGGTTGTTCCACTGGTTAATTGTTCTAACTGCCAGGAAGTTTCTCTCTAGTTCTAGGTTGCTTCTCTCCTTGATTAGTTTCCATCCGTTGCTTCTTGTCCTGCCTTCAGGCGCTTTGGAGAATAGCTTGACTCCTTCTTTGTGGCAGCCCTAAGATATTGGAACACTGCTATCATGTCCCCCCTCTTCTCTTCATTAAACTAGACATACCCAATTCTAGCAACCGTTCCTTATATGTTTTAGCCTCTAGTCCCCTAATCATCTTTCTTGCTCTTCTCTGTACTCTTTCTAGAGTCTCAACATCTTTTTTACATCGTGGTGACCAAAACTGGATGCAGTATTCCAAGTGTGGCCTTACCAAGGCATTGTAAAGTGGTATTAATACTTCACGTAATCTTGATTCTATCCCTCTGTTAATGCAGCCTAGCACTGTGTTGGCCTTTTTGGCAGCTGCAGCATACTGCTGGGTCATATTTAAGTGATTGTCCACCAGGATTCCAAGATCCCTCTCACAGTTACTATTGAGCAAGGTACCACCTGTACTATACCTGTACATTTGGTTTTTCTTGCCTAAATGTAAAACCTTACTTTTTTCACCATTGAATTTCATTTTGTTAGATAGCGCCCAGTGTTCACGTCTGTCCAGATCCTCCTGTATCTTACGCCTGTCTTCTGGAGTGTTGGCTATTAAAAAGGCTCCATTGGTGTCTTGTGAACTAAACATTGTGGTGTAATAAAACATCGCAGGCAGAAGTGCTAGTGTTATTCCTTTACATTTCTACTACAGAATACAGTAATAACTCCAAGACATGTTCTTTAGCTGTACAATTGTTTTCCACCTTGCAGATATTCTCATACAGTTCAAGAACTGTTAGAGCATTCTCAGTGGCAGAGATATTAGTTTTTCTAAAAGCTACCCAATTAAAGCCACAGTTAAAACAGACTTTGAATTAGATACTTTGCCGAATATTTTTCACTAAACACAGGGTAGTCCTTGGCTTACAACGATTTATTTAACTATGATTCAGAGTTATGACGGCACTGAAAAGAAGTGACTTATGACCCATCCTCAAAAGTGTGACTGTCACCCCACCCCACACAGTCACATGATTATGATTTCAGCACTTGGAACCAGCTCACATTTATGACAATTGTAGCGTCATGAGGTTGTGATTTGCGACTTTCCCAGTCATCTCCCAACAAGCAAAGTCAGTGGGGGAAGCCGCATTCGCACTACAAGTGTATGATTCGCTTAATGGCCAGTGACTTGCTTAATGATCACAATAAAAATGGTCATAAAATTGGGTCTGGTCTTGCAATGACTCACCTAATGACCTCGTTGCATAGCGATCAAAATTTCTGTCCCATAAGTCGAGGACTACCTGTACAAGAGTGTTACCCTTTTCATGTCAGAAGCTGGTTTGAAGTTCTTAGGGATTTTTCTGCCCAACAATTAAAGTAAAATAGGACATGATAGAGAAATAAATGAAAACGTTTTGACTGGTTGTGTCAAAATAGCGGTTGGCCTTTTCACGTTCATTACATTTAGCAGGCTTAGCAATCGCTTTCAATCAAATTAAACTTCTTCAACTTCAATAAATGCAACTTTCCAGTGATTGGATTCTTGGCAAATGTTAATTTCTTGGGAGCAATCACATTCTTCCTAAAGCTATCTGTAAGCCTTATTATGAAGGATTATAGGTATCTTTAAGAAAAAATCTGTTTCTGCGGCAAGGATAAAACAGCGATTTTGTGAAAATACCTGAGATGGTTTTTTTTTTTCCAGATGAACGGCTTAAGGCTAGAGAGGAAGGGCTGGAGGAGGCAAATAATTGAAAAATGATTTTGTCCAAGATCTTTGTAATGAGCTGCTATGCTCCATATAGCAATTTACCAAACGGCAATATCCTTTGTGAACCACGTTTCCCCCCCTGCTCTCTTTGTGCAAGACCTCCACGAAGGGCACTGAGAGTTTCTGTCTTTTTCAGGTCCGTGTCATCTTGCTGAACTGGTGCGCTTGGTTTCTCAGAATGAAAAAACCAGGGGAGAACATCCGGCCTCTCTCTTGCCGATACGGCCACTCAAGGCACCAGTCCAGTGTCAGCAGTGTAGAGATGAACATCTTACCAGGACACCATTCTAGCAATGGCAACATGATCTACAGCTACCATGCCATGGAAAATCCCTTCTGCCCACAGAATAATGAGATAGACACCAAAGGCGGAAAGGACCAGAGCTCTTTGCCTGAAGATAATGACAGCACTCAGAGAAAAGTTTTAATGGACACCATCCCAGTGATTGTGAAAATCCTGGAAGAAGTTCAGTTCATTGCAGCCCGTTTCCGGAAACAGGATGAAGGGGAAGAGGTCTGCAGCGAGTGGAAGTTCGCAGCTGCTGTCATAGACAGATTGTGCCTGGTGGCCTTTTCACTTTTTGCCATCATCTGCACGCTTACAATTCTCATGTCTGCTCCAAATTTTATTGAAGCTGTTACAAAAGATTTTACATAAGGCTCTCCAAGATGAGTAGAAAAATGCTCCAGTGTAATTGGAAGTTATGAAATGGTGCCATTAATTTTTGAAGAACAATGAGACTTCCTGTGCTGAATTCGGTATTTAAAAAAAAAGAAGTCGGCATGTGTTTCAAATTCCAATTGTTTCCCCAGTGTTAGATATTCTAGATACAGAATTGGCTCTGTTACTTGTTATTTGTTTCAAATAGTGTCTTCTCCCTATACCTGTGATCATAATCACCAATAATATTAGACAAGAAATCAGACACACAGCATACACTTTGCTGAGTAAATAATACATATATATGCTACTAGGAAACACTAGTGAACATGTTGCTGCATTGGTAAATTCTTCCTAGGAACATGATCTTTGCTAAATGTATCATTTTCAATGTTTTTGTTTGGCATCGTTGTTTAACACGGATTTCATCTACAGTAATGTATTGAATGACGCTGTTAGTTGCTGTTTGCCAAATAAATGGCAAGTTTTAGCTTTTACTATCACTGTGATAATCTGAAACATTTTCCACTTGATAACAATGTGAAGTCAATGCAATACTTTTTTCTAATAAGTTAAAAATGTTTTCATTGTTGAATATTCTGTTTTTCTATTACATAAATTACACCCTTTCCCTAATCTGAGTGCTGCAGCTGCCCACTTATTATCTTTGCCTTTCAATGTATGTCTGAACATCTCCAATGTCCTTAAATTGCATTTACCTTATTGATTTTAATTTTCTTACAATTAATATATACCACAACCCCAAACGTGCATGGAAAGCAGCACGTTTCACTTATTACTGACAACTATTGATAGAAATCGGAGATATAGTCAGATGAGCAAAATTAATGCACATCAAAGCAAGATTCAGTTTTTCTGCACTATGTTGCTTTGAATGCAATACACATTCCACTCACCTGTAACTGCACATTAAAACCTGGGCATGAACTACTTGAATTGTAGTTTTTACCTTCTACAGCAAAAATTATAAAGTTTTTTTTCTATAGAATAAAAAGATTCAAGAGTCTCAGAAGCCTGTAAGATCACAGAAAGATGTTTTGTTAATCTAACTTTTTCCCCCCACTGACACCACGGTTAATGATTTCCCCCCGATTTTTTCCATTCATTAACACCATGGTTAATGAATATATTTTTTTTACAATAAGTCTTCAGGATTGGAATAGATAGCGATCTGCCAAATGCAAATAATCGCGTCATACATTAAACTCACCCGAGATCACAATTTGTACCCATCAACTCTTGGAAGTATACAATGTAAATTTTTCCAATTGTTTGCAAGCTGCCAAATTGTTGTGATGATAGCTTTCCCCAATAATTATTTCATGTAGAAAGGTTTGAGAGAAACCGAGGAAGGACTTATGACATTTTACAGATAAAACGGAATCAGCCAAGACCATTGGGTTTTTTTTTTTTAAAGGATCTTCTTTTATAATCAGATTGCATTTACAAAGAAAATGAAATAAAAAGACTAAAAGGATAAAATTCACAATAAGATAATAATTTGATACAAAACGCGCACTTTTGTTGACATTTTTTTTAAAACAGCTGTATTACTGATGCAACAATCCATGTGATCTGCCTGTGAATACATGCAAAGGAATGGAGAGAAATGAAAAGTGAATACTGATTCCAGCGTGTTAATAAAATGTAAAGCACTTTAAAAAACCAAGTTGAAGAGAGGTGTGGCCTTCTGACAATGTGTTTATGCAGGAATCTATTTCCACAGGCATGACAGTGATGGAGTGTTACTATTCCCCACCTGGAATAGAGTCTCAGCATGACGCCAAGGTCTTGCTTGTGGACAGAAACCTTATCCTGCTGATTATTCATTTAGCTGGCAAAGTAATGCAGATCCTTTGGATATCCAGTAGTCGCTTGGTCTTTTTGAAGGAAGTAAGACGGTAACCACAAAGTTGGTAGAATGACCTAATTATAAAAAAGAAAAAATTGTTAGTGTTTCAAACTCCCCGTGTTCTTAAGCTGCCAACACACACACCCCCATCGTACATCCAAACCCCAGAATAAGTTCTATACAAAAAGAAAACCAGTATAACTTACTCCTTATATGGTTGAGATAGTTGGGCAACCTTTGGGCACTGGTGTACTGCTGATGCTAACCAGTTGGCATGCATGTTGGCAAAGGGGTACAGATGTGAACAGAAAAGTTTTTCTTCGTCTTATCAGGAGGAGAGAACTATAAAGGAGTTCATAATACTCTCTTCTTCAGTGCAGTATCACGCTTGCCTGAGTCCCCTGCTGATCTGACGACTGCTGACAGTAGGGCGTGTGAAGGTGACAGCAGGAACTAGGGGTTGAGAAAGCCATCCAGGCAGACTGCCTTGGAAGCTTAGGGGGTCTGCACGCAGCCCATCAGAGGCCTGGGATTCCAATGAATTGGGTCAACTTGTGTGGGGCTGTGGAATAGGCTACCTTTTCTGGAAGGGGAAAAAAGTCTATACTATTTGCAAAACTGCATACTCTTTTGGCAAAGTGCACCTTACTGTGCTTATGTGGTTTCAAAATGCAGGCATCATAAATCGGAGACCCGCATGCATCTTTTGGGTTAAATTGTCATTATTCCTCAGATACTTGCATTGATTACGGTGAATCGCAAAAAAAGACTTGCCATGTGCTCAGATATGGCACACAAGCACACTAAACCATAATGCCTGAAAATCAGGCTCCTGCCATTCTGGGAAATAAGAACCCAATAAAATCATCTTTTAAAATGAATATTTCTTCTGGCCTTTCAACTCAAAAAAATTAAAGGCAAATTCTAATCTGGTAGCAGCAAATAAGGGCCCGAGTTGCCCTGATCTACTATGGATGATGAGACCATGAGATCAAACCATTTTCTTTAGATGACTTTTCTTTTGGTGATAATAGGAGACAATGGACACATTTAGTGCAAACAATACAAAGATAAATGCACAAAAGTTTGCCAAATTACTTTAAAACAACTACATAGTTGGAATGAAGCTATTTCTAGGCATCTGTTTCTGTATTAATGGATGGTGACCAGTGGCACTAAATTTTGTCCCTAGTGCTGCATAAAGGTCCCAGTCTGGATCAGATGTGACAATAAATCTTTGTGGGATCAGGTGAAAATGAACATGCCACATGAGAACGTTACAAGTTGGAAGACAGGGTTTTAACTTTAAAACAATTTATTCATTAGTTGAAATTCTAAAATTTTGCTCTTTGTTTTCTCTTCACTGCTGATAAGGAATTCAGCCAACGGGCAACAATGCACTCAGAACTTGAGTCTGTTGAGCTGGCCATAAACATCCATCAATGTTGTAAGATTATCTTAATACTTTCATTTAAGAAGGCTTTTAGTTCATATGACATACTATACCTATGAACGATTTCTGTATTCTAGCAGTAGTGTAATAAAGGAAGCAAGCATATGGAAATCAGCAAAACAATCTGTGAAGATTCATCATCTGTGCTACTCACTTCTTTTGAGTGGAGCTGAAACAGAACTTAGCAATAGATGTCACATCCTTATATACTGTCCAGCTTCAATGGAGTGGAATGCCCCCAACACATCACTATTCACCTCCCTATTCAAATTACCTGGAGTTTTTCATTTCCACTTTCTCATTCATAATTCTAGGGGGAAAATATCTATGAAACTGTCAGGAAGCTGGAACATCAGCCTACATTCATTGACTCATGTGGCATTATCTCCATTTGCCACATCCCCAGAAGCAAATTCACTGATAAACAGCAGATTGGGCAATCTGCACTCTTATTCCATGAGCTATTTGCAAAGGGGAAGATCTCTTACAACAAAGCATACATACTTCTTAAGAAAAAAGAGTGACATCTGATAACCTGAAAGAACTTGATTCTGCACTTTTTGTACCAGATTCCAGATAAAAAAAGAAATTATACTTGCTTTTTAGGAAGGATTTATCTACTCCCAGGATCTGGTTCAGGAGTAGGATCCATTCCAAGTAGTTTTGAAAACCCTTGTAAATATTATCGATGTGGCAAATTTCAAGAGTGGGACTTTGGTAACATAAGAGGGTTTCCCTGCATTTTTTTTAACATAATAATGTCACCTGATCGATAGATAGGACTTTACTCTTATGTTGCCTAGGCCTCTGGCCTTTGATCAAGCTGTTCTTCAGCCTGGATCAGTGGTTCCTTGCAACCTCTTGCAACCTTGAGTTAGATGGGGGACTCTCTGCTACATCTGTCCCAGGAAGCCCCTTCAAAGCATCATCTGCCTTGTGTTTGAATAAAAGTCATTTGCTAGGCTGTCATTCGTGTATACTTGCCAAGTTGATATTGGATATCTAGTGAATTTTATAGAAAAAAGAATGACCTGTGGTAGACAGAGTTCCTGCTCTAGCTCCTGTTTTGTAGAGGGGCGCATGATACAACAGTGGGTGGGGCTCATAATTTTGATGCGGCTCAAAATGAATTACTGGAAGCATTGGGTTCATTTGTCGAGGTAACGCATCTTCTATAACCATTTCATCATCATCCCAACGACTAGCATCCATAAACATGCCATGGACCAGCACCCCATCTTCTGGAGAAGGTAACTGAAAAAAATAAAGTGGAAGGTGGAAGTCAAAGCTGAGCTAATCATTCATTAGCACTATCAAGTTTCTACCTTACCCAGGTACATGTTCTTGAAACACAGCAAAACATTTTTTTAAAAAGTATCAGAAATTTACCACAGTACAAGATAAACGTGATGGTTGTATGTAAAGGTATTTCATGTGAATTCAAGTTCTTTGTGGCTGGATAGTCATTGCAGTTGCAGACTTGTAAATACCTTTTCATCCATTGGTAATTCATTTCCGAAGTGGCAGAGTTTTGAAGCTTCTGCTACTTGTGTTTGGTCTCTGAAGACAGGAATGACGTTGTAACTAAAACTAAGCTCATCAATCGGCAAGTTATATTTTCGAGCGTGATTCTGAAGAGTTCCTGAGAAATAAAACATGGACCTGGTTCTCTTTTTAAAAACAAATAATCAGTCATTAAAGGACCATTAACAATGCACAGCCACAGAGAAATATGATAAGGGGATAGTTTATT